TCAGGGAGTTTGGAAGTGTCTGTGGAGCTTCCATGACCTTTCCTTGTACAAGCTGTGCTGGTTTCCCCAGTACTGTGTACCGTCTTACCCTTCACCAAAGTTACCACTTATCTATTGTCTCTTTAGTTCCCCCCCACCCCTCCCATCCCTTGTAACCGACAAAGATTGTTTCTTTTTGTGTATAAACTTTTACATGAGTTTTTACGGTAGAGGTCTCATACAATATTTGTGCTTTCGTGGTTGACTTATTTCACTCAGCATAATGTAAGAGAGGAGTATTTTAATGACCTTTTCAGATAATTGTGGCTATTTGATACTATACTAAAACTGGAAAAGTCATAGTTTCTTGAAGATCAGCTGCAATGTGGAATCTGAAACCATATTGATGAACATTTCATTTCTGTTACTGTAAAACCCATTGGTCTAGCTTGTATTTTGACTGCATCTTTTACCCAGGCATGATTTTGTAACATTGGTCATTTGGAAAATGTTAGCTCAGTGAATTATGCAGATCTTCCAAATGTTGACACATTTCATTGTGCAATATAAACATAAATGTATTCTGATTGAAACCTGTGAAAGCCAGAACTTAACGGGACTGTCTTGTTTTTCCAGGTCTTGCAAGTTTTCCGCCTCTGACATGGTGCAGTCTTACCACTTTTCTGTCCCTCATTTCAGTGGAAGATATTTGTGTTTTCCTTCCCTGACAGGTTTCTACCTTACACAGGTTCTGGCTTTCACGGGTTTTACTTATCACCACCAATCTCATCAGAAAACCTTAAAGTATTGGGAAGTGTTAAGCTCATCATGACGGAAGTTTCCAAAAATTCTAATTTTTGCTTAAAAGCTTGGATTTTATTATTGGCAAAAAATACTGACAGTCATTTTCCTTGAAGTTCTTTTTTGAGAAAATGTCTGCCAAATACCCAAATCTGAATAACCATAATTTGTCTGTCAGGCATTCTTACAAGTAAAAATAGTCTTCCAGGAACAAAGAGGCTAGTTCAGCTCACAATTCAGTTTCACAGATGCTTTTCCTTGAGACAGCCATCTACTTAAGTATACAGTTTAAAAACTATACATATATAATATTGTATATACATATACAGTTTCATCACACAAAAAAAGACGTATACTTGGGGTGAGATTTAATAAGATTTACAATATTTACAGTTTCATCAAGGATAAATGAAAAAGTGGCTTTTTTTAAAACTGTGAATGTGTGATGAAGACTATAATATTACCAGTACAGTTTGATGCTGTTGCCTTAATTTTGTCAGCAATTTTACCTGCCATTGCTTTCGCACCGTTAGTGCAGATATCATCACATTGAAAAAGGCAAATAATGTCATATAATTATTATAAAATAGTTTTAACCTTGTGGACCCCCTAGAAGACTCTTGGGACCTCTAGAGGTCCACAGACCACAGTGTAAGAACTGCTAATATAGGTAAGGTTTTACTTCTAA